AATTTTAATATATTAATTTTTATTATTTCTTTAATTTTATTGCTTCGATTATTAATATTTTAATTTACAGGTCGTTCCGAGGAAAAAGGGCCGTGTTATCGGGATTGGCTCGGTTAACGATGTCCCCGCAGCGACATCGGCTTATGTTCACCAACAAGCCGATGACAATGCGCACCTACGGACGGAGTTGCAGACGACGTAGACGGAGTTGCAGGCGACGCAGTCTCATGTGCGTACGCTCACGGCCGTCCTCGACGTTGTGGCGCTAACAAACCCGCAACTGGCGGAAGTGTTGCGTCAGAGACGGGAAAGCGGAGCCCTTCCATCCCAAGAGCCTCCACCATCTCAGTCACAGCCGGCATCCAACGACCCTGGAGACGACTTCGTGAACCAATTTGANTAATTATTTTTTTTTAATAGGAAAAAATAGTTTCGAAGTAAAATCCTCGTAAAGGTTTCGAGGTAAATTCCTCGTAAACTTTCCTAGCAAACTCCTCGTAAAGTGTCTACTACGAGTTTACGAGGAAGTACTTTACTACGCCCTTACGAGGAAAGTGTACGTGGAGCTTACGAGGAAATGTTTTCCACGGCTTTACGAGAAAAACATTCCTCGTAAATTAGCTAGGCCTTTACGAGGAAAATAGCCTTTACGATGAACGTCTTTCGACGAAACACGTTTCCTCGCCCTTTACTAGGAAATAACGAGGAAAACCCGTCCTAGTAAAGGACGTGTTTTCTTGTAGTGTTTGTTTTTGCTGGATATGGAAAGTAAAAAAAAAGAACATCAAGAACGTAGGTATAGTAGCAATTATTGACGTTTTTGATCCTTCGAAATCATGACTCAATTAGTCACTAGTCGCTTTTTGGGATCGACGCTAATCTATCACAAGATTGCTATGATTATAGTTATGTACGACCCCAGTCAATTATTTTATACATTTTGTTTCAAAGTAGTTATATACGGTTTCTGGAAAACGTTTTTATCATTTTCGCTTTCAGAAACCTTTTTTTTTTTTTGTAAAAGCTATTCAGGAACATTTACACTATGTTTTTTTTTTTTGACTAAATGTTTTAATTGTTTTGAATGATATATGTAATTAACCAAGTTTCTTATAGACTATATGCATCCTTCTGTAGTTCGTAATTAAAATTTAAGACCGAGAGGCATGACCAGCATATATTTGTTGTTTAACATTATGGACTTCTATAGAATTTGATTGCAAAAGAGTTAGAAAAAGAAACACAAAGAAGCGTAAGTGAACCATGAGCATTTTATTAGCCTATGAACACAACAAAGAAACTCTTTTTTTTTTCTTTTTTTTTTGATATGATGTTTTGAGCTATTAGATGAGGAAAAAAATCATGTTGACCGAACAAATGTAAAATTGTTAAGTCAATATATATGCTCACTTCTTTGTCATTATTGGATTTTTGCTATATTTTATTTCCAACAATTCCACTATTTTTACTATATACAGTGAATTTTTTTATGTTCAAAAACATTAATCAATACTATATCCAATGTTCTAAAAATCGCTAGGCGGAAACTAGGCGTTTTATAGAGGATTAGCGCCTAGGCGGATTATTCGGGGCCTAGGCGGGAATTAGGCGTTAACAAATTATTGATTTATTTTATATATATTTTACATTTATATAAGAGATTTATTTTTTTGGTTTAATTATAATTTTATTTTAATAAATTATCAAAATCCGATATACAAAATAAAATAAATTGCACAAATTTGTAATTATTTCCTAAATTATTACTTAATTTAACAAATTTATACTAATTTAAACTAATTATAACTGTTTTAGAGCAATTTAAACCAATTTAAAATGGTTTAGACCGACTTAAATAGTATAAATCGGATTTTAAGAAAATCGTTTCGGTAAGAAGGGATTTGCCGCCTAGGCGGGCGCCTAGTCGGCGCCTAGACCGATTTTTAGAACATTGACTATATCTATGCTAATTCATTAATTTGACCAGATATATTTTTCTATTATTTTAATGTTCATTTTGCATGTTTGAGGATAGTTCCAAGCTCTAATGTGAAAACTGAAAAGAGACTAAATATTTGTAAAGCGCTGATGACGTCGGTAATCTTTTCTTTTTTGGGTCTAACATGACGTTGGTGATCTGTCAGCATATCAGTCATAATTTCCTTATCCTATATTTCAATCTTATATTTGTAACTTTTTTCTTCTGTAAATGAATATTTGTAGCATACTTTGTCATAGACTCATATTTATAGTCCTTAAAATTATAGTTATTGACTTATTGATATATCTAAACTAAGCTTAGTAGTCCCATTTGGTTTACATAAAACATACAAACTACATCCATGAGAATTTCTTTTTCAAGTTTGTAATCTTATTTTGCTTTTATAAGAAAGTTTCTTAACTTGTAATCATCGCCAACACTTGGAATATTATATTCATAAAATAACGCCTGATATTAGGGTTGAGGACTCAGATAGACTAGTACACCACGTGCCAGGTCATGTGTCGGTTACGGTCAAATTCCGCTGCTATAACAAACGCGTGTTATTCTAATAACCTCACGATATCCGCCTTTGTTGTTGCCTTCTTTACACAAAGATGACCAGAGACTGCCCGTTTCCGGTTACCGGTTAAATTTGTCAACGGCTTCTCCAGACGAGATTGTCCCACCTTCTTCCACATTTCTATAGATAAACAAGAATTTGATTCACATCTTAATTACCGTATTTTAAATTCACTTAGTTTGACAATTTAAAAACTCAAATGAATTATAATGAGTGCTTCAAATGTGTACATTCTATACAGTTTTAGTATTATCAACTCAAGAATATTCTTAAGATTTTTTTTTTTTTTTTGCTATGAGAATATTCTTAAGAATTTTAAGTTAAGTCATCATCTTACGTATTTGTTATGAACTTTTTTAACCCAAGTGTTCTAGTATATCGTAGATAGTATAGGTATATTGCTAAACTGAAAATGTTCTTAATTTTATAAAATAGAATTGCACTACTATAACAATAAAAAATAAAAACTTATTAATATCTTCATATATTACGATTAAAAATTAAAATTATTAAAGAATACGCTATATATTTTTGTTAGAATAATTTATTAGGCTGGAAATTCTTTTTAACATATTCATGTAGTGAAAAGCTATGCTATGCGTTTTTGTAGATTTTTTTTTATTCTAATTTAACCAAAATTACATTTAGAATATTAAGTAAATATTCGTAAATGTATGAAAGTATTAAAATATAATCGCATAATTTGGATATTAGAATAAATTAACATTACTGTATAAAACTAATTTATACTAATTAAAATTAGTGATTCCTTTTACAATGAGATGTTCATTTTAAAAATTCAGAATAATAATATTAGCTGCATAATTCAGAATAAAAGTATATATTAACATTAATACATGACATTACATTTACAAATAAAATTTGGTAAATATTTTTTAAATTTAGATATTCTTAATATATGTATTTAAGACATTATATATCATATATATAATGAAAATATATTATTATATAAGTGAAAGCCACATATATATTTTCAAACAACCAATAAAAGTAAGTCATGTTCGTAAGTTATTATTTCCTAAACCCGATAAGGGATAGATAATCACATGTGATTACTGATTAGAGGCACAATATGTGTATTGTATATGTAACAAATATGACTGAAATAACTTCAATAAAATCTTAGAAACTGACTTAATTAATTGTTGTAATAAACATGTAACTAAAAGTCGTTTCATTTAATAACTCTAAATGAATAAGATACATTTCACGTTTTACTTGAAAACCACAAAAGAAAATTAGCATACTAAAATAACCCAAATAAGTACCATTGTTGCCTCATATGTTAATCTGGCCTCGGACATCTATTGGTGAATATGTTAAGAGTTTTTAAATTTTAGAGTTTTAGCTGTTAAAAATATAATTATTCTTTTTCATATGTACTGTCATAAGACTTTAAGAAGTTTGATTATTATGATAAAATGGTTTTGATTTTATGTTCACATGAAGCATTTAACAAACAAAGCCAAGTAATGTTTCCTTACTCGAGGACCACTTCTGTAACTCTCCGTTTGGGAGGTAAAATGCTTTTCGTCAACTCAAATTTATAAAGAAATTTCCTTCATAAATATTAAAAGCCATTCAAATCTCAAACCTTTAAATCATTCACACTGGAACTATTTCATTCAACCTTTATTTTTAAATTGTTTTGCTTATCTTACATCATATTTTTTTGTCAATTATTAAATCGTATTCTAAAACACCATTTTTACTATATTTTATTTAGCAACACATATTAATAATATATAGTTTTCAACGGTATAAATACAAGAAGACCCAAAAGTCTATCACCAGATTTAGACCGACTAAAAAATTATAAACGTAAAAAGTTCGTCTTCTTTCTCTCTATAAGCTCTTAGCTATTATCTTTTTTTTTTTGTCAAACTTGTTTGGTTTGAAGCTCTTTGTTCTTCATCATGTCTAATGAAACCAAAGATCTTAACAACTATCACCACACTTCATCGTATAGTCATTACAACAACATCGACAGCCAAAACATGATGAGTCTCCCTTACATTTCTGGTCCATGCACTTATAATGCAAACATGATCTCATCACAAATAGGTTCTGATCTACACTCGAGTTCTCAAGGAGCGTTCGGATTTGGTTTCAAGCCCTCGCCATCTTCTAGCGAATTTTTTAATCCTTCGATCGATCAAGATTATAATTATAATTATAATACTAGTCACAAGAGTCATGCAGTTGTCGGTGGTGGTGGTGGTGCAATCATTGAGAATGAAACTAGGGTTTCGGCATCTCCTTCTTCGAGTGAGGCCGATCATCATGGCAAGAGCCGGATGAAAAGAGAAGCTGACGATGGAGGAGATGAACAACGTTCTCAAAAAGTGTAAGTTTTTCTTTTGAGAAAAGTTCATAATAATTTTTAGTATTTATTTTTGTTTTGTTTTTACTAGCTACACTTTTACATAGTCAAGCAAGATGGTTTAGAGTTTATCATCACATGAATCATGATCAAACTTTTATTTGTTGAAAATTATTCGGTATTCTAATCAAACATCATTTTTGCATATAATTTAAAACAAATCTCTAGCTAATCAAAAACCAAAACCTTAATTCTTCAAAAAATTAAAATGCATGTCTTCTTTTTAAGTTTGAACCAGTCTTTTCTCGAACATATATACGTTTCTTTAAACTAATTATGATGAATAAAATATATTTTAATTTACAATGTTTTATACGAAAAGTACATATACAGAATTTGAATATCATAAATGAGATATCTTTAAGAATACTTTAGCGATTCTATTTTTATGAAACAAAACATGGATGAGTTATCTGCCCCCTAAAGAACCCACTTAAACAGAAAGACGAGTCCCATTTTTGGTATTGTTGTAAGAACTTGTACGTCCAGTAATCATTTGGTGCTTAGCATTATTAACTATATTGTTCAAAGTTAATTGTATATATGGTACGATATCATGGATCACCAATTCAGAATACGGTCCATTGTGACAAAGCACAAATTCAATTGCATGATATTTATATGGTTCAGAGCTAAAACAAAGAAGAATCAAGAGAAGAAGATAAGAGAGCCACGAGTCTCGTTTATGACTAAGACCGAAGTTGATCATCTCGAAGACGGCTATCGTTGGAGGAAGTACGGCCAAAAGGCAGTCAAAAACAGTCCCTATCCGAGGTACTTTAATCGACTATTAATTATACTTTTTATAATATATGAAAGAAATAATTAAAGTACAATCAATTAATAAAATGTTGAACAAATATAGCTTTTAGTTGTTTTTTTTTTTGCTTTAAAAATACTCTGGTATTCATAGTAAAAAAAAACTCATATTTTTTTCTATTTGAAAAACTAAAACCAATTTTTATTTACAGTATTTGTTTTTTTTTTATTCACATCTATACAACGTCCAAGAAAGATTTCCTTGTATGGATCTATTTTTTTTTCGTCATAGTTATTTTATTCAGTTCTAAAAAGTAATTGTTATTTTATATCTGCTAGAATTGTGATGATTGATCACATTCACATTCCATTAATCAATCTTTTTTTAAAAAAAAAATTCTAATAAAAATTGCATTGATTATATTGTTTTTTAAATCGTTAACTATATTATGGTCACCTCAAGTTCTCAGAGATATTTGACATGTATTTACCAGCCATGTTTTCTTGTTGAAAAATGATTTGAAATTATATGGAATATATATATTCCAAATAAGATTTTGACATTGATTGAAAAGTCAATCAATTTTATTATAACAATATACAAAAGGGTTGAACTTTAATTTTGTAACCAATATTATAAGTCACATGCTAAAACAATATAGTATATGTCATCACATAACAGGAGTTACTATAGATGTACAACGCAGAAGTGCAACGTGAAGAAGAGAGTTGAGAGATCTTACCAAGATCCAACGGTCGTGATCACAACCTACGAAAGTCAACACAACCACCCGATCCCGACTACTCGCCGCATGGCAATGTTTTCCGGACCGGCCGCATCTGATTATAAATCATCGTCTCTATCTCCATTTTCCAGTTTCATCAACACTCCAACAAGCTTCGCACATGATGATCTCTTTCGTGTGCCATACTCAAGCGTGAATGCAAACCCCTATTATCAGCAGCAACAAAACCACGAGTTTCAGAATGATAGTGACTATGAGCTTTTGAAGGAGATGTTTCCTTCGGTTTTCTTCAAACAAGAATCTTGATGATATTTTATTTTGGGTGCAAATGTTAAAACCTTGATGATATAGTAACACTATTTATACTATAAATAAGTGGTAGAGTTTTATTAAACATGCATGTATATTTTCTGAGACTATATTGATATAATGTAGAAATGTTAGGCACTGATATGGAGTCTCTTTCGAGTTATTAAAATAAATTTATTTGAGTGAATATATTAGTTATTCTTGAAAAAATTGTTATTTCTCTAAACTCTTTACAATCATCATCATCAATATCTATCAATGAATCTCTACTCTTGGAAAGGATTAATATACCACTTGTTTTCTAATTTGTCTCATTAACATGAAGAATAGAAAGTATGGTAGATTGTGATTAAACTCGACCAACTTCTCCTACTCTCTGTAAATTTGCATAAATTCTTAAGTGTATTTCCTTCAAAGCAGATTTCGAATGTTACGAAAGGCCACAACAGTTGGTTGTAACATATATCTATATATTTTTGTTACTATTATAAACACATAACATTGTTCCGCATATTGCTATTTGGACATTTAGGATTCGATCTTTAAAATCCCCAAATATGGTTTGTTTCTTAGCGGATTCTTATACTATTTACAGTCTCCATGACAAGTGTTAATCTGCAACTAGTTATTATATTTTTTTTTGCTTTTTTTTTCTAAAGTATGAAAAAACAAAAAAAAATTAAAATTAAAATAAAAACAGTATTTTTAAGGACTCGAACGGGTAAGTGAGTCACATACAATATCAAGCGTCAAGCACTCACTTAATTCATGATTCATCAGAGAGCGTTATCCAATTAGATGCAACGAGAAGACAACATAAACACAGGTACGAAACCAAATCTCATGTTCCAAAATTATGCAAATAGTTCCAACTTTTTACTGCCTTCGATCTCAAGTTTTAAGTTTGCTAAAAAAAAATCTAGTTTATTACTGGGTCTAAAAGAGATGGCCCCTTAATGTAGCCCAATAACTTACGAGAGTGAGATATACAATTCAATTTTCCTTACAGTACATAAGTAAAGAAACAAACTCTTTTTTGATTGCTTCAACGATTATTAGCTTGCTTGTTAGTTATTACACTTCCGAAACTGAGATCGTCCTCCCTCTGAGTTTCATCAAATGCGTAAGAACCTCATTCATATCTGGCCTATCCTCAGGCCTAGAGCTTGTACAGTACAAACAAAGCTTCAACAAATCCTCAACAGCCTCTTCCTGCTTCCGAGTAACAATCGTAGAACCAATCTCTGAATCAAGAACCCTAATCATCCCTTCTCTTCCATCTCCAATCGCTTCCTCCACTAACTGACGCAGACTCATCCCTTCAGCTTCTTCACCCATCACAGAAGTCGGTCTCCGCTTCGTCATCAGCTCCATCATCACGATCCCGAAGCTGAACACGTCAGCTTTCGTCGTCACTCTCCTCATATAAGCAAACTCTGTTCAATCACAGAGAAAGAGTTAAAATCAACGGTATTAGCTCATATCCCGGTTAAAGTATTATACCAATTGGTTTAACTTCTTTTTACTAAACTGATGTAATATATAAACAAAATCATGTAGCAAAATTTATTTGGGCGTTTGGGTACCTATTTGGATTTGGTTTCATATCCATTCCACTTTCGAGTTTGCGGGGCTAAATATATAAATTTAAGTAATTTATGTTAAATTTAACATAAAATTTGGTTTGGCTTAATTATTGGATGGAGATTTTCAATAAATATTTAGTTATTTTTGGTGTTTTGCGTATTGTTTTACTATTTTTAATATTTATTTTGACTATATGTTTAAAGATTTTAAATATTTTAATTATGTTTTGGATATTAAATCTAAAAATAATTAATGTATTTAAATATATAAATTTGATTTGGATATATTCAGATATGCGAAATATTTCAGTTCAGATTCGATTTTGATTCTTTAGATATCAAATTTTGAACCAATTCTGATATTTTATTCAGTTTCGATTTGAGTTTATATTATTTTTGGATTGGATTCGGTTCTATTTTTTTTGAATTTAAGACTTTTTCCCTAGCCCTAACTTTAGCTAAGAAGATTTAATTGAAAATATTCAATAAATATTGAAAACTAAAGGTTTTTTTAAAAAAAAATTTTAATTACCTGGAGCCAAGTAACCAATCGTGCCATCGAATGTAGAAGCCGTTACACTCCCATCTTCACGTAACCCTAGAATCCTCGCCGTCCCGAAATCGCTGACGTGAGCAACCCCATCTCCATCGAGGAGTATATTCGCCGGCTTCAGATCACAGTGAACGATCGGGAATCCGAATCCCGAATGAAGATAATCGATTCCGCTCGCCACATCAACACACAGATCGATTCTCTCCGCGAATCCTCCGATCCGTTCACCAGATCCGCCGTGAATCGCGTCTTCCAAGCTTCCTTTCTCCATGTAAGGAAGCACCAATGCCTTCATCTTCCCGCTCTCCCAGGCAAACCCTAGGATCTTCACTAGGTTGCGATGCTTTAGCTTGCTTAGCGTTTTGGCCTCCGTGTAGAACCATTTATCTGATTGCGCTGAGAATTGTTTTAGGTTTAGGAGTTTTACTGCGATGGCTGTGTTGTCTTGGAGATGGCCTTTGTAGACTGTGCTTAAGGAGCTTGAGCCTATGATGTTGGTGGTGTTGAATGAGTTTGTTGCTTGTTCGAGGTCTTTAGGGTTGAATCTCTTGAGTTTTAGAGATGAATCTAGATCTGGGAGTGGAGATTCTGAGGATGTTTTTTCAGTCTTTTTTGACATTTTGTTGCAGTAGGTGAGAATTAGTATAAGAAGAAGAATGGCTGTTGATACTAGAGCAGTCACGATGATTGTTGTTCTTTTGTGGAAGTGGTTTGATTTCTTCTTGGTTATTGGACATTGCTTGAGAGGCTTCTTGTTGCCGCAGAGGTCTTTGTTTCCCATTAGATCAGATGTGGTGATGTCTTTGAAGACGCCGGATTCAGGGACGTGGCCTTTGAGGTTGTTTGAAGCTAGGTTGAGATGTTTCAGCGTTGATAGATTGGCGAGAGTCTCTGGAATTTCACCTGTGAGATTGTTAAAAGATAGATCTAGAGAGAGTAAATGCGTCATGTTACCGAAGCTTTGAGGGATTCCACCGGTGAGACTGTTCCTTGAAAGGTTCAAGCTTTTGATCATATCCATGCCGTTTTGCTGGAAGACTTCGTCAGGAATCTGGCCTGAGAGATTGTTTCTTGAAAAATCCAAGAAGAAGACGTTTTTGCAGGCCTGTAAAGATCTTGGAATAGACCCAGAGAAGTGATTGTTGGAGAAGTCGATTTGTTCAACCATTTCTAGCTTTCCAAGCTCATTGGGGATGGATCCTGACAACAGATTGTTTGAGAAGTTGAGGGTAAGCTGCAAGTTTCTCATCGAAGATATGAGCTCGCTGGAGATGGTTCCGGTGAGAAGATTGCTGGAGATATCCAATGTGTTGAGATGTGAAAGTGACTTAAGGCTTCCAGGGATAGACCCATTAAACTTGTTTCCATGGAGAGCCAAGTAGGTAAGAGATTCAAGCTTCGAGAACAAGACAGGAATTGGACCTGAGAACTTGTTGTTGGATAGATCCAGCTCTGTGAGTTGCTTCATACTAAACATTTCTTCAGGAATTGGACCCTCGAGATCATTTGCATCCAGCTCGATCCCTTGCAGTAGAGTCAGATTCGATATCTCCCCTGGGATTCTTCCTGTGAAATGATTAGTGCCTAGTTGTAAGTGACTCAGCTCTCTCAGATTCCCTATCTCTCGAGGAATGGCTCCAGTGAGAGAATTGGAAAATAGCTGCAAAATCCGTAGCTTCTGAAGCTTCCCAATGAATGGCTTGAGCGTTCCTGTGAAGTTGTTCCGTGCCAGATTGAGAATTTCCATGTTTGAACAGTTAAAGATATCATCTGGAATTTCGCCAGTAAACCGATTCGGCCCAAGAGAAAGCAATGTAAGATTCATCCGTCCTAAACCACTTGGAATCTCGCCAGTCATTTGGTTATAAGACAGGTCCAAGACTTTAAGACCGGTGCAGTTACTTATGCTAGAAGGTATTGGCCCGGTAAGAAGATTGTCGTGTGCAGAAAGGTTCCGAAGGTTTGTAAGAATCCCTAGATTCGCCGGGAGCTCACCAGAAATCGAGTTGAATCCCATTGTTATCACTGTCAAGTTCTTCATGTTGGTGATGGACTGTGGAAACTCCCCTGTTAAGTTGTTGGAATGGAGCGTAAGGACTTTAACTGATGTAAGAAAACCAATCTCCTCCGGTATTGGTCCAACCAATTGGTTTTCTGACAATCCCAAATTGGTTAACTTTGTTAACCGAAACAGTGAGGACGGAATTGAAGAGTTCAGCTTGTTCTTGTATAATCGGAGTGACTCCAGCTGAACCAAATTCCCTAACTCAGCTGGTATTGCCCCGGTTAACTGGTTACCATACAGCTCAAGTTGGATCAAGCTCGAGCAGTTTCCGATCTCAGCTGGTATCCCTCCTTCCAACAAATTGTCAGTTAAAATGAGACTTTGTAAGTTTGAGAGATTTCCTATCTCTCTCGGTATTTTACCGGTTAACTGGTTACTATCCAGGCCAAAATCCGTCAGATTAACCAAAGTACCAACTGATACAGGAACCGAACCACTAAACCGGTTTGAGCCTGCTATAAAGATTTGGAGATGAACCAAATCTCCTAAGCATTCTGGTATCCTCCCGGTTAAGTTGTTGTTTTCAAATCCTACTAATTCCAAAGACGTAGTTTTGCAGATTGCTTCAGGAACATCACCGGTCAACAAGTTATCCCTCAGATCAAGATACACAATATTCTTAAGCCTCCAAATCTCAGACGGTATTGAACCAGAGAAATGATTTAAGTAAAGAATGAGCTGGTTAAGCTCTGTTAATTTCCCTATCTCAGATGGTATTTCTCCGGAAAAATTATTGGAGGTGAGATCAAGAACCTGGAGATAGGTGAGATTTGCTATTGCTGGAGACAAGACACCTTGAAGTTGCTTCTCCATCAAGGAAACGGAGACAACGTGACCGGTACGGTCGCAGGTGATTCCGGTCCAACTGCAGTGTGGAACCAGACCGGTGGTGGTCCAATTCGACAATATCCCTAAAGGGTCTGCGGTAATACCTTTCTTGAAGGATATTAAAGCTTCAATCTCTGGTTTAAACTTCTGTTTGGCAAGTGAAAAGCCAGAGAACAAGAGGAAGAAGAAGAGAGTTAAAATCAGAGTCGTCTTTGAGAGTGACTTCATACTTTAGATGAGTTGAAAATGGTGAGAAAATATTATGACTTATGATATGAGATAGTTAGCTATATATATACACACACAGAAAGTCGTACGTTTTGTATATATGAACATGCTGTCGAGACGATATTATATTGAAGGATCATTCATATCACGGATGTGAAAAGGCCAAAACGCAATACATTTTTGGCCAACTCGCAATATAATTCTATATATAGTTCATGATTTAAACATAAACGATAATTCGGCCAAGTTGCATATAAAGCCACTAAATGCATTCCCACTCTGTCACCCATACTCAATTCTTTAAATGTACTATATACCTTCAATTCCCATATACCTTCCTTCTTTTTTTACTATATATATCTTCATTCATTCAATCTTGCCAATAAATCAAATATTCTTCTGTATCCAAACGTTATATTCAAATCTATATTTAAATGAAAACTATTGTATTTTCTTTGATCGTTGAACTAAAAAACTATATATAAGCGTCTAAGGCTTGTTCGAAATAACAATGTCAATTTGGCAATTGAGAAAGAGAGCCTTTTTGGTCAAAAGAGCAGCATCATTGAAACTCAAACCATTGTGCGCAACAAAACAATTGGTGGTGCGTGCTCGCTTCTGATTATGTGAAACAGTGTTTGACTATTGAGTACTTTAACAAGAAAACAGTTATCATCTTTCTTTTTCAATCTTTTTTGTTTCTATAGAAAATATATATATCCGGTTTTGAGGTTATATACTGTACTAATGTAATGCATTAACACGTCTTCTGAGTTCTGACCAGAAGACTCAAGAAAACCTCATAGGCTGTATTAATAAGATATTTATATACAAGTAGTGTCTTTCTTTACGATATTCAAGTTTTATTTTCTTATGAGCGATATAATCTGTCGAGCATTTTAATGTCTTTCTGCAACCCAGAATAGAAAGGGAAACTAAAATTCTTCTCTCAGTTTCGTTATAATTTGGATTTTCTTATCGACATTCGTTTGCAAAATAAGATATTTATATACAAGTAGTGTCTTTCTTTACGATATTCAAGTTTTGTTTTTCTTATGAGCGATATTGTCTCTGTTAATATATTGTATATGAAAAATAAGATAAACAAATGAGTCAGAAAAATATATGTGACAGCTGTGGGTTTGAACCCACGCCCTTTCGGACCAGAGCCTAAATCTGGCGCCTTAGACCACTCGGCCAAACTGTCACTTGTTGTTTATGGTATATCGCTTTCATCTTTAACTTGTCTTCCTAATTTGTTAACATGTTACTCTTCTTTTGTGTCTGAATCTGAGAGTGCTACTATATAGATATTTGATATCAACAAATATGTCACTCCGTTTGTTTGAATCATTTAGTAATATTGCATTAAGTAATAAATTGGACATGTGGAGATCCAAAGTTTGCAGATCTGTCACTTCATTTTCTACAAGGCATCTTTTCTGTCTCCTTTTTCATGCATTCTTCTATCAAACGTGTTTCATCTTTGTCTTGAATTAATTTGCTTGATAAAAAGGATATGAATCTCGTTGGTCTCGAGCCTTTCTCGGAAAGATATGACTCCTAAGTTAGGTGATGGACCACTTTCTTCGGTTTTCTATAATCCTAATGTCTATCTAGAAAATGGCAGATCTTTCTCCAAAGAGTTTATTCGTTTTTCTTAGCTTTTGCGATAAAATAAGGATTTGATAATTTTCTTACCCCCGTTATATCAAGAATTATCATTTTACTTTTCACGGACACTTAGCTTTTGCCATAAAATAAGGATTTGATCATTTCATTTTCTTATTCAAAAAAAAAAACTTCTGGATTTCTCCCACGTGTTCCTTCTCAGGGACTATGAAGTATTGTAAGAAGCTAACCCTTTATTTGTGGGTTCAATTTTTCTATCACTGCACCACAGTTCATTAGTAAATAATTACCTACTCCCTCCGTTTCATATTAAGTGTCGTTGTAGATAATTTTTTGCGTTACAAAATAAGTGTCGTTTTCAATTTCCAATGCAAAATTTATTAATTTTATTATGTAATTTGTTTTTCTATTGGTTAAAATATGGTTAGCTGTATGGGTAACTGTGTTTTTATATAGGAAATATGTAAAATTAATTATTTTCTTAATCCGTGTGCATAGCTGTAGATTGACACTTATAGTGAAACATAGGAAATATAAACTAAAATATATAAGATTTTTGTGGTGTCAATTGATCTCACACTCTCTCAAGTGGGTCCGCCCTTGGTAAGAAGAGTGGTCTTTTTTGAGCTTTTGAGTCCTCTAGAAATCAAATTGTACAGAGAGAAGAATTAGGTTATAAGTTACAAAAAAAAAAAAAGAAGAATTAGGTTATGTTTTCAGTTAACCTAAATTTTGATCAATTAAATCTAAAAACCTTTGTGTTACAAAAAAAAAATCTAAAAACCTGTATTTACGATATCAAAAATAAAATATAAGTAAAACTTAATGTATTTTCAGTAAATTAGTTTGAACTGAATCAGAAAAAAAATGAAATAAAGCAGGATATGGATATGTTTTCCAGGATAAAAACTAGGAATATCTACCCTAAATTCTCTAATAAAATTTTAGAATAACTCAAATATCAATCAGAAAATAAGGTAATCACTTGATTTACAATATTTTTAGAAGATATATACGTCTTTATATAGTCTATATAATAATTAGATAATGACATCAATGAACATTCAGAGTGCCCTTCACGTCAGAACACCTACGTTGATCATTGGAAACTGGAATCTGACAACGCGCTTGAATCAACGACTTATAATTACCAAAACACCCTCGACTTCGGCTCGTATAAAACTTCTTTGTTCCTCTGCGAAGACTTTACAACAAGTAACCATAACCAAAACATAATAACCTAATTCTTCTCTCTAATACAGTTCGATTTCTAGAGGATCTCAGAATTTAAAAGATGATGGGAAAGGGGACCTTTTCGATATTCAAGACGAGGAAAGAAAGGACGAGATTGAAGTTTTTAGGACTTGGAGGGCTAAAGTGGAAGAGATTGAATCTTAAGATGTCGTTTTTCGAAAGTTTGAGATTTAGAATCATGTCTATCATCGAAGCAATGGTTTTGGTTTCTAAGCTTGCTTTTTTCTTTCTTTTTTGCGGTTGCAGATTCTAACACGTCAATCACTCCCCGTCTGTAACATATTTTTTTGTATTCTTGATTAGTTTATAATAATGTAAATTTGAGTTTAGGTATTTCAATTCAATACCGAAATTTTCTTCTTCGTATACGTTTCTGCTTTTATGATTTTTACTCTGTTACTGTATTTAATGACTCAAACATTCATTTTTTTCCATCTTGGTATCAACAGAAGCATGTGTAAAAGTAGGTGATAATCAGCCCACACGGGTGTGATGGAATGGTTGGTGTTGGACTAAAAATACATTGCTTCTCCTAGTTTCGATTGACCATTGAAACTATATCACAAAGGTATGGAAACAAGAGTAACACACATACCCAGGTCCGATTTATCGTTGAAACTACATCACAGATATGAGTAAACAAGAGTATTCACATGGGATCCGTTGACCAGTTGACTTAGTAGCTCGGATTAAATGGTGTTCAGAATAGGATTACCCGAGTTATATAAGAAAAAGTAGGGAATAATCTGTTACCGTTTAATGTGTTCTCTAGTTTCTAAATAAGCAAGCAATCCCCTTCTTATTATTTGAGGAGAACTTTTATAAACAAACCTTTATTTCATGTGTGATTCACAACTTTGCCATTTCTTAGGTGTCAACACCATATTCCACCTCACAACCCTTTTTAAATAACCCTCTTTGGCCTAGAATAATTACATGTCATGCCATTGGCAAATCAACCTATAAAAATTATTTTATTATATGTTCCTATATATATGCATGTTGAAGACATAAATCATCCCGTAAATGTATCATCGTAACATTATAACTAAATGATTCGAAAATACCTTTGTTATTTTTATCAAAAAAATTAAACTTATTGTTTTTAATCGTTCATATAGATTCAAATAACGCGAAAAATATTATGTTATTTTTATATTCGAATAACAATTTGTATATAAATCTTCATAGTACATATGTATTATATTATTCGAGTAACATATAGTTTGGTATATAAATGTATTTTTTATATTAACATGAATAGCTATCTTATTTTCATATTCACGTTATTTATATAGAAATATATTTTATTTACATGTAAATAAAATATGCAAATAAGTGTATATAAAAAATATTTTTTATGATCATGTCATATATTTAGCAGGGCATATAAATGTCACTGACATATAAATAACTGTATATTAAATGTTATTTTATGATTTACGTTGTATATAACGTTACATATAAATAATAAATAAGTGTAACTGAAAATACTATATTATTTATTCGAGTAACATATAGTAAACTATATGTATTATTTATTCAGACTATAATAAAAATAAATGATAAACATAAATTAGGGATTCATAGAATTAACAACATAGTAAATTATATATATTATTCATGTAATTATGATAATGGTCATCACCGCTATAAATGGTAATAAACATAAATTATGTCACTAAATTAAGCAGTCAAAAAAAAATTATTCCAAATATAATGTGATTGTTTAATCACAATTTTATAATTGTTGGTGGAGATACATCCAATTAAAATGACTTCTATTTTCTAAAATAGAAAAACATCAAATATGGTTAGTTACCTATCAATGGAATTTTGATTATTTTATATATGTTTCAATTGATTCTTACCAATTAACATAAATGCGCTAACATAAATGTGCTAACATAAATGCAATTATAATTAATGTGCTAATATTAATACAAAATTCAAAAATCAACTGATTCTAAATTTAATATATTAGAAATAATTAAATATTAAATATGCTAAGTGTATATCAAATTTAATTTCTCATATGTTTTGATCATATAAAAATCCACAAATATTATAGCGAATGCCTAAAAATAGCTATTAATACAAAATTAAAAACTCAAGACATACTAAACATAATATATTATGAACAATTAAAGATTAAATAGGTTAGGAAAAAAATTATACTTATAGTTTTTTCCGGAAACATAGCCGGACCTCTACGATATTTTAGTAACCAATTAACTTATATGCACTAACTATTAAATTTTATTTATTATATTAAGAATATTTGACATTAATTACATAGTATTAACTCCCTATATCTAAACATTAACTCTGCATATTTTTGTCTCATTAGTTTTTCGTAATTAAAATGGAAAACATGATCAACTAGGGATTCTATACAATTATATTATCAATCAGAAGATATGTAATTAGCGCAAAATATACTAACAATTTATGGTGATAAATTTGTATCCAAAATACTATATATATGGAGTGGATACTATGCCTACAACTCCATCACAAACCAAGCGATTTAAAAGTATCATTCAAAGTGCAAGGGTTGAATTCATCTCTGATTTAAACCAATGAAGTCGCTATGAAAGATTAAGGTGAAAGTCATTCAACTTTGGAAGCAATACTCGGCTGTTGGTGGAGAGACCATAGAAATGGTTTTTGTACTGTAATGAGATTTGAAGACAATAATCACATTATTTGGTGTTTTATTTTTCTATTACTTATGTTTCTTTAATTATTATCATCAAAATTTTCTTATGAATGCAATAATTTTATTACCTATTTTTGTTTTTTCTTAAATTTATAATAAATTTAAAGAAATGTTTACTTACTTTTATAGTTTTTTTTTTCATATAATATATTTCAATGCACATATCTAACTACACAAACTTTTCATATAAAAATCAAATAATCTTACATTATAAAAACCTCCACACTGTAGTAAGATATATCATTATATCCAATATTACTTTCTAATATATATATATATATATATATATATATATATTACGTAATAATTTTTTAATTTACTCACTCCGCGCATGGCGCGGGTTATTATCTAGTTACATACTAAACATATTGTAATGTGCTTTGGAATTTTTTTATTTCATGTTGGAACACATTTATCTTTCCCTCGAGGCTGCAGGTAAGTCCAAGCAAAGTGTACATATATGTAAAAAGAAACGTGTAAATGCATTTATGTTCTAGAGATTTAACCTAGTTTATAACTTTAATACTCAATATGTTTCATTATAAGTGTTATTTTAGAGTCGTGCACACGAATTAAGAAAACAATTAATTTTACATTTACATATTTCTTATATAAAAACACAATTACGTATACATATAACCATATTTTAACCAATAGAAAAATAAACTACATAACAATGTTAATAAATTTTACATTGAAAACTAAAAACGATACTTATTTTGTAACGAAAAAAATTCTCTACAAAGACATTTAATATGAAACGGAGGGAGTATTACAAGAGATGATAGTCCTGCAGCCAAATTTCATATTATCTTAAAAAGATTTTGGGATCACGCTGCTAGTTAATTATATATGCAGAATATGCGTTTGGTATAACTATGTGCAGAATAGAAGCTCAACATAAACAATTTATATTGTACTAGGTTAGAATGTTTATCTTGATTCTTCAAATTTGAGGAAAAGAAAACGGTTCAGAATCAGTAAGATGGTAATTAGTTTGGGTTTCTAATAATATTCAAGTTCGACTTAAATCAGGTTGTAGACTTATAGTTATTCATCTCATGATTCCAACCAACTTGAATCGAATAGTTTTCTGTCTATAGATAAAGTCATAAAACTGTGTCAGTCGTTTCTGCCAGCAGTTTATTTTCGTACAAATTGAGTCAATGCAATGTAGAAATTTGACAAAGTCAATAACGAGTTATATTTGGTTGGTTTTTGGACTGTCTAGAACGTCTACATATGTACATCATCTATAGGACTAAAATATTTTCCTTGTCTCGTATATATGCCCAAGGAATTTTGACAACTTTTGGCTTTGTAACCAGAAAAAAAAAAACAATCTAATAACTATGCTCTATTAATTTTTTTCCGCTATATAAATAAAGATAAAACGGATAAATGAAGTCCTAAATTTCACTTGATAATTTGCAGAATTCAGTAAAATTTTCGAGCTAACATATATACATGCCAATGGAGACGAAGATGGGATCCATAGGCCGAGGTAGGACATGAAAATCTGCGGACGTAGTGACCTCAGTGTTACATAACGTGTATAGCATTACGCACAGTTCGCATATGGCAAACATATTCTATAAAATAAATTAAAATTTGTTTTAGATAAAGTAGTATATTAACAAACATGCGAAGATTAAACTCTAGCGTTGATGAAACAATTGAGAACTTTTTTTTGTTTTTTGGGCAAAACAATTCAGAACTTTATTGTGGTAACAACTTTACATTATCATTCAAACGAGTAGGAGTAACGCGTTACAAGACTCGAACACTTTGTACGAGTTATTTAGATTTTGAAAAAGAAGCTGGGTGTTGAACAACTGATACTTGACTATCTACTCACACAATTCATTGTTGAATTGACCATTTGAGATTTTAATGCTTTCACGTTAGTATCTGTTCACCCACCTTACCATCTCTATTAAATTGTATTGGCAAATTTTTTTTTTATGGTTACTTGTCACTTTTATTTTTAAATTGAGTTTTCTTATATGTTTTAAACTTCTTATATATTAAAAGAGAAGTCATGATTTCACTTCATGTGTGATATTTTAAAATAGACCATCTAATAAAATTTATGACATTACATTATTTCACTAGATTCACTAATAACATTTGTTGAGCTTATTAGAAATTTTTATTGGGTTAATAAAAATTAGATGATCCATTGGATTTATAGATATTATAATAAAATACATGTTTAAATTAAACTTATATAATTTAATATTGTAATAGTATAAGTTAATTTTTAATATATTTTTGATGTTAACTTTAAAAATTATATAGTTTATTTTTTTAAATAACAAAATCATCATTTTCTAACAATAATTAATCTATACTACTATAATAATTAATCATCATGTTCGATATACACACCTTATATAATATATATACCAATTTAGAAGTAAAAAAATATTTATATAAAAATAAATGAAAACAAATATCCGCGCAGGCTGAGATCTAGTTAATAATTAAAAGTGTTGTTCATTCAAAAATAAAACAGAGTCAGATTTGAAAATTTTATGCTCAATTTTGAAATGTTTTAATTTACGGTAGGTCGTAATCATTTTAGTGGCTTTTAGATAAGTTGAGCCAAGTGGCATTTCTTATCTACATCACAATAGGTCGATTGCAATTTCTTTTTGTTCAATAGCTCGTCTCCATTTCAGAAGTTTTCTACGCAAAAAAAGATGTGAAATTTTTGAAAACCATAATTCGATCATGTGAGAATTCGTACTTAACTTCCCCAATCATCCACCATTTCTTTAAAAATGATATCCACTTTTTATAACACAAGAATCATGAACTTTGAATTACTTTAGTGAATAAGTAATTTTAAAATCGAAATTTTGAATTAGAGATAAAAAAAATGGAGGAACAGGAAAATAAATAATTTGTGTGTTCGGAAATGAGATATATAGTAAAAGTCAATCTAATAGTACACTAAATATAGATGGATAAACAGTGTTAATCCAAATATAGGGTAATATTATTAGTTTATTCTATTTTTAGTTAATTTTTTATATAAAATGATCCTTTATTTTTCTATAAATTTTAATTTTTACTTAAATATAATTATATGTTATAACTTTGTACATTTAAATATTATAAAATTAATTATTAAATTAGGTTACACTTTATATGAACTAATAATTTATATTAGATTAGAATTCAATAAATGATAATTAATAAATTAATAATACATAAGCAATTACATTCTAGGTAACTGAATATTTTTCCTACAACATCAAATTGTTGAAGACATATTTTTGAAATGGACACTTCAATTCTCTAAACAATTTAATAATTTTTCCTACAACATCAAAGTAATAAAATACTAGGGTCAAAATTCAATATTTTTAAAATTATAGAGTAAATAAAAAATTAATAAACAAACGGAAAAGAAATATAATAATATATTCACTTTTAGAATAAAAATGGAAGTAATCACTGGAGTAAAACTCTCTTCTATTTTAGAGTACTCTATTTTTGGAGTAAGAAATATGGATAACTATTAGAAATGATTTTATTGTTGTTAATTGTTATTAGTGGTTAATGATATTGATGAATAATATACTCGTAAATAACTGAAAATGATGAGAATATTTAGAATAAAAACTAACTATTTTTGAATTTGTGAAAAATGACATTTTCATGAATTATATCAACTAAATTTTATTTGTCATATTCTTATGAAAAGCTTCCCATAGAAAAAAAAAAAACAAAATAACTACATAGGCTGAAACTAAAAATAGTTGTAAATATATAAAGGGACTAAAAGAAAAACAAAAAACAAGTTACTTTCCACTGAATTTATAAATCTGACGACCAAACTCAAAAAAGCTCCTTCTCTCAGACCAAACAAACGCACAACCATTTCCCACAACATCGTACTTATCGCCTCTCCCTCCCTCTCTCTAAATCCACAATGCAAACTCTCCACTCCTCCTCCCTCCGCTCCTCCCCTCCCAACCCACTCCTCACCCCTTCTTCAAATCTCCAATCTCACCACATCACCAATGCTCGCTTCCCCACCACCACAAGGCGTCGCCGCTCATCCATCATCTCCGCATCATCCACCACCGCTCCAAAACGCGAAACGGATCCAAAAAAGCGCGTCGTGATCACGGGAATGGGCCTTGTCTCCGTGTTCGGAAACGACGTCGATGCTTACTACGAGAAGTTGTTGTCGGGCGAGAGTGGGATCAGCTTGATTGATCGATTCGATGCGTCTAAGTTCCCGACGCGATTCGGTGGACAGATCCGTGGGTTTAGCTCTGAGGGGTACATTGATGGGAAGAATGCGAGGAGGCTTGATGATTGTTTGAAGTATTGTATTGTTGCTGGGAAGAAGGCTCTTGAGAGTGCTGGTCTTGGTGGTGATAAGCTTGACTCGGTAAATGTCTTTAGTTTTGATCAAAAGTTTGAAACTTTGTGGTTGGGTTCGGTTTAAAGGTTTAATCTTTGGATATGAATTTGATTTATATCTGATGGGTTGAACACATTACTTATTTAGTTGTTTACATCACTGTTTTGGGTGTTCTTTGTAGATTGATAAAGTTGAAAACTTTATGATTGGTTCGGTTTAAAGGTTTAATCTTTGGATTTGAATTTGATTTCTGTCTGATGGGTTTAATGCATTGTTTACACCACTGTTTTGGGTGTTCTTTGTAGATTGATAAAGTTGAAAACTTTATGATTGGTTCGGTTTAAAGGTTTAATCTTTGGATTTGAATTTGATTTCTGTCTGATGGGTTTAATGCATTGTTTACATCACTGTTTTGGGTGTTCTTGTAGATTGATAAAGTTGAAAACTTTTATGATTGGTTTGAAGATGTAAAGGTTTCATATTTAAACATTAATTTGATTTCTCTGTGATGGATTAAACAGATTACTTGTCTTAGTTTGTTATCACTGGTTTGGGTTTTCTTTGTAGATAGATAAAGTTCAATACTTTAATGATTGATTTGAAGATTATTCAGTCTAAAGCTTTAATCTTAAAACATGAATTTGATTTGTCTCTAATGGGTTTAACACATTACTTGTCTTAGTAGTTTACATCATTTGGATGTTCTTGTAGATTGACAAAGTTCAAAACTTGTATGATTCAGTCTAAAGGTTAATCTTTGAACATGAATTTGATGTTTCTCTGATGGGTTTTTAACACATTACTTGTCTTAGTAAGTTTACATCACTGTTTTGGGTTTTCTTTGTAGATTGATCAAAGTTCTAAACTTTAATGATTGATTTGAAGATTATTCAGTCTAAAGGTTTCATTTTTTAACACGAATTTGATTTCTCTCTGATCGCTTTAAGTTTAACACATTCTTGTCTTAGTAGTTTACATTACTGGTTTTTTTGGTGTTCTTTGTGGATTGATAAAGTTCAAAAATTTAAGATTGATGTTAAGATTATTCAGTCTAAAGGTTTAGTATTTGAACATATACTTTATAAGTGTTTCAAAAAAAGAAAAAGTACATATATTTGATTTCTCTTTGATGGGCTCAAGTTTAACACATTCTTGTCTTAGTAGTTTTCATCACTGGTTTTTGGGTGTTCTTTGTAGATTGGTAAAGTTCAAAACTTTATGATTGATTTGAAAATTGTTCAGTCTAAAGGTTTAGTCTTTAAACATGAATTTGATTTCTCTCTGATGGGTTTAACACATTACTTGTCTTAGTTATTTACATCACTGTTTTGGCTTTTCTTTGTAGATTGATAAGCAGAGAGCTGGAGTACTAGTTGGAACTGGTATGGGTGGTTTGACTGTGTTTTCAGACGGTGTTCAAGCTCTTATTGAGAAAGGTCACAGGAAGATATCTCCCTTCTTTATTCCTTATGCAATCACAAACATGGGTTCTGCTTTGTTGGCGATTGATCTTGGTCTTATGGGTCCAAACTACTCAATCTCCACCGCTTGTGCCACTTCTAACTACTGCTTTTACGCTGCTGCCAACCACATTCGCCGTGGGGAAGCTGATATGATGATTGCTGGTGGAACCGAGGCTGCTATTATTCCTATTGGGCTGGGAGGTTTTGTTGCTTGTAGGGCGCTTTCTCAGAGGAATGATGACCCTAAAACCGCTTCAAGGCCATGGGATAAACAAAGAGATGGGTTTGTAATGGGTGAAGGTGCTGGTGTTCTGGTATGTTTCAGAAACTCTTACTTTTGTTGAATCTTGTAGTTGATTAGGTTGGGAAGTGTACTTGCATTTGAAAATTTACTGCTATTAGAAAGTTTGGTTAAATCACTATGAGATTGGTTCTTACATATGACATACTGTTTCTGCGAGTCCATATAGATTTTGTTAATTTGTTTGGTGCTCTAATAGGTGATGGAAAGCTTGGAACATGCGATGAAACGTGGGGCTCCTATTGTAGCAGAGTATCTTGGAGGTGCTATTAACTGTGATGCTCATCATATGACTGATCCAAGAGCTGATGGACTTGGTGTCTCTTCATGCATTGAAAGCTGCCTTGAAGATGCTGGTGTATCACCTGAGGAGGTAACAAAAATAACTTTTCCTACTTATATTCATAGCTTGTGGTTGTCTGAATGTTATTTTTTTTCCAGGTAAATTACATCAATGCGCATGCAACTTCCACTCTGGCTGGTGATCTTGCTGAGATTAATGCCATTAAAAAGGTATTCAAGAGCACTTCAGGGATCAAAATCAATGCCACCAAGGTTAGTCATCAACGCTCCACCTACCTAATACCGCTATTTTGAATGTTATTTCTTTGCATTTCCTGTACATGACAGTTTTGTGAATGCATCATGTTACAGTCTATGATAGGTCACTGCCTCGGTGCAGCTGGAGGTCTTGAAGCTATTGCCACCGTGAAGGCTATCAACACTGGATGGCTTCATCCCTCAATCAACCAATTTGTACGTATAATCCCCTCCTTTCCTAAAACAAAATCTTTCACAAGTTTAACATTATTCATCACTAGAACCGAATAATTGACTTTTTTGATTCCTCTCCTAGTGGGTTTAGAGACCTCAGGCTTCTTTGTTTTAGACTCTTAACACCTCTGTTTCTCATTGTAGAACCCGGAACCAGCTGTGGACTTTGACACGGTAGCAAACGAGAAGAAGCAGCATGAAGTGAACGTTGGTAAGTGAAAACCAGCCTTCTTGTCATTGTCTTAAACGGACGATGTTTTATCTGATTATGTCTTTATGTTTTCGCTGCAGCCATATCAAATTCGTTTGGGTTCGGTGGACATAACTCAGTTGTCGCCTTCTCTGCCTTCAAACCATGATTTCTTTAAAACCCTTTGTATCCTCTGCTCCATCAGCTTCCTTGGAGCTACTTGGTTCACACGAGTTTGAGCTCTTTCTTTTGCGTTTTACGTTCCCATTCAACATTGTTTGTTCATTGAACTGTTGAGATTTCAGATTTTTTGCTTCTCAGTATTTCTGTAAGGAATGTTTGTATCTTGGTTCGTTTCATATTTGTCTAATTTATTAAACAGAAGTAATGTTTGTATCTTAGTTCATTTCATATTTGTCTAATTTATGAACAGAACCAAGACTTTTGTAGCAATGGTGTTAGTGTCAAAAAGGAGTTCTCAATCTTTTTTTTTGGTAATTCCTATGTACGTCTCGTGTTGGCCTATCAAGGTGAGCTTTAATGTGTTTATTCATAAGCTTTATTGACGGGTCATTAGCTATTGTTATCCACTTAACAAAATCAAACGCGCAAAAACGAACGTGATTTGTTTATTATCATTGTCCCGGCAAGAGTTGCCATTGCCTTCCTAAAGAGAAGAGAGATAGCATGAAGTCATCAAATGCATCCATTCTTCACACAAAAGCTAGAATACAAAGTGAGGATTCAGAGGACTTGAATATGCCAAAAAAGAAACTCAAATCCCACACAACATCCCAGTTATGATAACATGTTTCACATTTTAAGAAGCACAACAATGATACAACAACAGAGATGAGAGAAACCCATCAAACTTCGTGACTGGTTTGAGAAGATGTGGGAGGAGGAACCTGTTTACCACGTCCCATAGTAAACCCTCTCGTCCCATCAGGCATTCTTGGGCCAGGCGGAGGCTTTGAGACTTCAACGTGATGATGATGATGATAATTATGATGGAAGGATGATGAGGTTGATGGTGAGGTTCCATGTCCTATAGCACAATGATAAAAAAAGGGTCTCAAATTTTAGTTTCCACTATTGCAAACAAAGGGACTTTACACTGAAGAAAGTAGTATTACCGTTGCCGCCTTGATGATTCTGTCGCCTTCCCCGTCCCCGACTTCTGGTTTTGTTCCCATTTTTATCGGCAACATCCTGAAAATGGTTAAAAGGAACAATCAGCAATTAAAAACAGCTGTTTCTAGCTTAGTGGCACACTACAACTATGCAAGTGAGTAGAATCGATTTATTCAAATCCTAGAATATGCCAGACCGTAATGTTGATTCCATACATTTAATCAAATGCTTTGACAAAGCCATGAAAGATAGGCCATGACATCTAAGTACTAGAAATAAGATGGAACTTACATGATCAGCCGGAGTATCAGAATGATGATGACGGTGATGCTGATGTTCATTTGACTTTTTGTGCTCCTCACCTCCTATTTGATCATGCACTTGGCCTGTATTGTCCTTCACTGTATCAACTTCTTTCCTACCCGGTCTTCTCTGTGAAGACTTTCCCTATGGTGAACAATCAATTTATAAATGCTATAGTTAGCTTCCATATGTATTTTTCAAGTTGAAATTCATCAGGGATTACTTACTGTTTGTTCAAGAAGCTTAACTCGCAGCCCATTTCTCCAATCTTGCTCATTATTTAGTGTAGCTGCCTGCACCAATTAATAGAAGTATATAAAGACAAACATTCCTTCTAAGAGTGCTATCATTCCGATCGTCTAAGTTTTATTTGACACTTACAGCTTTCTCAGCAGCCTCCACTGTTTCATATTCCACAAAGGCATGTAACTATATTCAAAATACGAAAAAACCCATTACTTACATGTACACAGATATACATGAAACTTTATTCTGATTTCATATAAGAAGATCTCCATGAAATTCCTTACCCTGGTTCTGATAAACTTGTCCTTCTTACAACCCTTCTCTGATTCTTCAACAGCATTTGGATCACATATGGATACACTTTTGATGCTACAGTAGGAATATTTTTTGGAATCAGTAGTATGTATATATGATAAGACCAAGCTGTAGCAATGATATGACATGCGAGAAGGAGTGACTAGATTAAAAAAAATATAGATAAAGTTAAGGCCTACCTTCCAGCTTTAATAAATATCGCACGAATGTTCTCTTCTGAATGATCCTCTGGCAAATTTTCTACCAAAACAGTGAAAATCTATAGTACACCAAAGTTAGAAGTGAATAAAGGAAGCAATTATACAACACATTAGTTAAATTCATGTTTGGGGCAATTGTGATACCTTTGGATCCCTGACCTCAGGAAGAGGACTCAGACGCTTCACCTTCTTTTCATCCGAACTAACAACCTGCAGGTTTGACCAGACAGACACTCAAAATCCGTACAATTTTTTCATCTGTTATTCTAATTTAATTGCCTATCGCTATATGATTACTCCAATGGTTTCCATTCATACTACACGATGTAACTACTAAGTCTGCTAGGAAGAAGCTTACAAGAAATGAGGACTCCTTTAACGCGGATACTATGAAAGCATGGTCTCGTGTAAGCTTCTTCATTTTATGGAATGTAGCAAGGGTAGATATGGGAACTGCATACAAAACAAGAAAGCCATTGACATAGTTGACGGAGTAACCACAAGGAAACCACATTGTTTCAATTAAAGTAACGAGATTTGATCAACAATCTTTGAGTATGTCAAACAAATTCGAAACATGAAACTAAAGCAGGCAGCACCAGGAAACATCCCAATGAAGCAAGTTTCCCTCTAAGCACCAATTCTAGTTCATCAGCCACAAAGTCAAACTTTCAATGAGATAAGCCTTTCTTTCTCAAGAAGTTGGGTAAACGACCTATTTCCACACCATAATCATCTTACAGTAACATATCCACACGAATTTTGGACTTCGTCCCAATTGCACACAATTAAACTATAGCAACTTATTTCTCCGCAAATTGAAAGATCAAAACTCGTTTCCACACAGACGAAAAATTGAAATTGGTTTTAGTGGTTTTATAACGTTAACCGATATTAAATCTAAGGGTTTCGATTAACATTGGTACAACCTGACCCAAACGACCAAAACCTCTATTAATCTTCCCCTAACCACCTGACCCAAACGAATCGATTATACTTAAACCTCTATTAATCTTCCCCTAACCGATTCACCTCTTTTGGAACCCTAAAACTAAACAAAAATCAGAAAACAAAGAATACTAGACCTACTTTAAACCTGTCATTTGTTAGTATTAGTACATTCTCCAAACTTTAGGGGGAATCGGGTTTCAATCTTTCTTTTTGGGGAGAAATATATTGATATAGTTTAATCGTGTGCAATTAGGATCATGTCCAAAGTTTGTGTGCATTTATTACTATATGATGATAGTTATGATTGGGAAATAGGTTGTTTACCCCCAAGAGTTCAACTCAAACTTTCAATGAACCATGTTCCAAAAAGATCAGAAAGTGTATAACTACAATGAACGAATGTACTCAAAGTTGTTCATATAAACAAGGGTCTAATAAAGAGTCAAAGGAGATAGAGGTATAAACTCTCACCAAAGCCTTTCTTGTTCTTCTTCATAGCATTAAGAAGAAACTTGTCAGTTGGCAAATTCTCATCACTAAAGTAGTATTCAACCTGCAACCAAATACACACACACACAACAGAGAGACTTGATTTTCAGAGCCTATCCCCTTATAGCTTGCTTAAAGGCTTGAGAGAGAGAGATAGAAAGAGAATCAAAACCCCCCTTGCCTGTCTAATGATCTTCTTCTTCAACTCATCCTCTGGAACAACAACATCATCGGTATCTCCGTGATCCTGATCGCCGTGGTCTAAATCATCATCTAGCGGGGTCAAACAAGTTATCTCCGGGACAACAACATCATCGGAGGATCCAGCAACTACTGGTAACGAATCGACTTCACGTGAGGGCGGCTGCGGCTGCGATTGGGAAATATCCGCGGTTGAGCCAATAGCGTCTTCCGATTTGACGGCGACGGAGACCGAAGGCGTTTCTACCGTTTCCATGTTCCCGGAGCGAAGAGGAAGAGAGAGAAGAAAGAGACCCCGCCTGCCTACCTGCCTCTCTTTGTTCCTTTGAGTCTTTCTCTTCCTCTTACCTCTCAGCCGTCGCGTCGTCTCCTTCCTCCGCTTTTATACGATTCAATGACTTTCTCCTGATCGGTCAAAGGTTAGTTTCGTCATTCGGCAAAATAGCATCGTGGGCTCTTAATGGGCTTTCATATCAAGTCCATTTAAGAAAGGAAAATTAGGCATGTATGACAACCAAAAAATGCATAATTCACATATTAGCTATTTTCCCTAACAGATCTATACACGCCGTTATATATACATATTAGTACTGTAATATGCATCTTCTCAACCGGCGTAACCTACTCAAAAAAAAATATTAATTATCAAACATACAGAAATAAATCATGGTTCCCCAATTTCACATCCTCAGGTCTCTGGTATAGATTTGTTTTCAGAGTGCCGTCTCCGCCTGATTTCAAGAGCTTTGCCATTTCCTTCATACTCCCGTTCCAATCATGTATTTTTCTCCGCTTGTGCCATCCTCTAACATTGTATGGCATTAAAGATGCATAGACAGTTAGTAACAGATTTTTTTCTCAACTTCACCAGTCGAGTCTTCTCAGATCTTTAGAACTACAGTAAATTTTGGGGATATTTATTTTTGAATCTCTTCATATGTTTTTTTTATTTGGACTATTGTCGGAATTAGGGTATTATAATCGGTAAATCTAGAACCTCGGTATCATTGCATGTTGGATCTATTTTTTTTGCTTCGAAGTTTGCCAATTGATTTAGGTTTTGGTTTCCCTGATTGTTCTTAATTTTGTATTTTAGGGGAGATACATAGTAAATAGTATAGTAATATAGTTTGTTATATGGAATAGCATTTGTAAGATAACTTATATGCGTGAGATATTTTATGTCTATTTTATTTGAGTTGGAATAGAAAAGTTATATGCTCAAACTATTCTATTTGTGATGGAATCAATTGACAAACTATTTATTTGAGATGGAATTGAATGATCTGTAACGTACATAAAAGTTATATGCTCAAACTATTCTATTTGTGATGGAATCAATTGACAAACTATTTACTTGAGATGGAATTGAATGATCTGTAACGTGCGCCATATAATTCTTTATCAACAATCATATTGTTTGAAATATAAAAGGTTATTTTCTATATAAAATAGAATGGATTACTCTATCACAACCAAGTTTCCCTATTACTTTGTTCTCAGATTTAGCATCGGCGATTTGCCTCCAAGTAGATTGTTTGAGACATATTTTGAACCCACTGAAAAGAAGGATTAACAACTATTTCAACCTCCGTTGAATTGAGGTGATCAAGAATGCATTAGAGGGTTTAATCTTGTTCGTTGTTATTTCATATTCTCTTGATATAAGTTTTGTATCAGTGTATATATGTGTTTTTTATCAGTGTGTATATGATTTTATAAGGAAAAATAATATATTGAACATAAATAGAATATAATATGTTATTTATTTTGATTCATTCCATTTAGGTTTAAGATTCATATTTGGGTTTAGGGTTTATATTTGGGTAAGGATTTAGTGATTAGAGTTTAGGGTTCGTATTTAGTAGGTGAGGGGATATGGTTAGAGTCAACATTAACTTCTTCTTTGTAATCATAGACATACATTTCATAATTTCATCAATAGGTACTATGCATTTTATTTTGTTTCATTTTATCTAGGTTTTGGGTTTATATTTGGGTTTATGGTTTATATTTTTGTTTAAGGTTTACTGATTAGAGCTTAGGGTTTAGTATTTAGGAGTTGGGTGAGACTGAGATAAAGTTTAATATTTAGGGATTGGGGTTTGGGATATGTTTAGTATTTAAGGTTTGTAGGTGTAGTTATAAACCTATACTATTTACATGATATGGAATAGTACACCCGTGCATATGTATGTGGTCAATAAAGATATATGTGGATTTAGAATAATTTTCAGGTGCTCTTGACCTTTTATTTGGAATAATTTATATTGTATTAGAGTTTACATTTTCGTGTCGAATTTAGTTCTTAATCGATAGAAATCAGATTATTTCGTGATCTATACTATTTTATCATATAGAATAGCAATGCATGTAATTTATTTTGTATGTTAAGTTTACATAAATTGTGTAACACATACAACTATTATCCACTCATGTCGCAGCTTTCTCTAACAACATTTGTATTAATTAGGGTTTATATTTGTTAATTAGGGTTTATATTTATACTATGTATTTTCTTCCATTCTATTTGGGTTTATGGTTTATACTTGGGTTTAGAGTTTAGTGATTAAGACTTAGGATTTAGTATTTGGAAGGTTGGGGTTGAGGTTTGGGTTTGGTGACCCATCATGTATCGTTCATTTTGATTATTAAAAAATAGTGTTCTATTTTACTCACCGGTATGTACTATTCTATTTATTTTGTTCCATTTTGTTTGGGTTTAAGATATATACTTGGGTTTAGGTTTTAGTGATTAAAATTTAGGATTTAGTGTTTGAAAGATAGGGGTTGAGGTTTGGGTTTAACACTACAAGAAAACACGTCCTTTACTAGGACGGGTTTTCCTCGTTATTTCCTAGTAAAGGGCCCTTTACTAGGAAATAGCGAGGAAACGTGTTTCGTCGAAAGACGTTCATCGTAAAGGCTATTTTCCTCGTAAAGGCCTAGCTAATTTACGAGGAAAGATTTCCTCGTAAAGCCGTGGAAAACATTTCCTCGTAA